TGCAACCTTTATACAACAGTTTCTTTGCATCATTTACCAACCTCTCAAACATTTTGGGACAATTCTGAAGATCTTCTTCAAGTGCTTCTGCAATCTCTTCGACTCGATCATAGTTGCATGAATCTGTACCATTGTCGTTTGAAGCATGTGTTGTATTATCCCCCGGTTCAACATTCTCGTTACTTATCTCACCATGTAATGTCCAACATGTATAACTTCGATCAATTCAATGCCTCTTTAAATGCGATTCCAACTGAACTACGTCAATCCAACGCCCATAACAACAACCTAAGTAAGGACATGTGATCCTATTGGGGTCTTTGGCATGTTCAATAGCAAACTTAACGAATTTTGATACCCCATTCTCATACTCTTTTGACAATCGATTGGAATACATCCATTTTTTATCCATACTAATTAAGTAGGCTAAACTAAACTAAGTAAGTTAAACAACAACAATGATTACGTGTAGCAACTGTAGAGAAGTCAACAACTTCTAGAACTACACAGTAAGATTCTTGGAAACGATCACAATCTTACTCTCCACAAGTAACCCATATAGCAAATTAGCATACAAAATTAATTCATGTTTTCATTAACAACATCAACATCAACATTAACAACATCAACAACAACATTCTCGTTACTTTTTATTATTGGTTATTTTTGATGTTTACATGGGAACTATTATTCACACTAATGACACTTGTTAATACTTAACAACATCAAAAATATAAAGTTCTACGCATTAGTTTAAATTGTGTTTTTAAGAATCACAAAACTTCAACAAATTATGACTTAAAGTCCCAATATGCTATCCATATTAAATCTGTCATGCCTCCATCAAAAAGTTATATCAGTCCAATAAACATAATTGATATACATATACAAAAAAACTGAATGCTGCAAAAAACCCAGTCTAACACTAACTTCTTCGTTCAAAATTCCAAAATCCAATGTTGTCAAACAAACCTCAAATGCAGACTGCACATGAACATTAAACACAACAGCAAAAAAACAGCAACAGCTATATAATTCACAAGATCGAAGTCGAAGAACGATGAAGATTAAACAAATCCAAAAACAATGCACACCCGACTCATCAGAATTTGAAAACAATTGGTTTAACCCAATATGGCAACAACTAATGAAAATGAGAAAACAAAGAAGAAAAGAAAATAGAACAGAACCGATAACAACATAAGAAAATGAGAAAACAAAGAAGAAAAGAAAAGAGAACAAAACTGACAACAACATAAGAAGTAGCAACTGTTATACACATTAGTTTAAACTGTGTTTTTAAGAATCACAAAACTTCAACAAACCTTATTTGTTCCTCTTTGAATCAAAAATATATAAGAATGAAAGTAGAAACATTTCTTGTTACCTTGCTGATAACTGGTTGACGGAGGAATACGCGGTCAGACGGGGGGATACAGCGGTCAGACAGAGGGAGCACGACGGAGGGAGACGCAGTCGGAGAGACGGAGATACGACGGTCAGACAGAGGGAGTAGGATTTTGTGTTAAGAGAGGGAAAGAATACGTACATGCACGAGAGAGAGAGAGAGAGAAAGAAAGAAGTACTGTGTCTGAGTCTGAAATAAAAATATAGTTTTATTTTTAAAAATGTAAAGACCTATAGCAGCGCTTTTGTAAACCTCCCATATAGCAGCGCTTTCTCCTCAAAAGCGCTTTCGTAACCCACACCTTTATCAGCACTTTAAGAAAGCGCTTTCTAAAGTCTGCCTAAGGTAGGACCTATAGCAGCGCTTTATGAAAGCGCTTTTGAATCCCCCCTATAGCAGCGCTTTTAGAAATCGCTTTCGTAACCCCCATCATTTAGCAGTGCTTTCTATTGTATTGCAAAATAACAACCTTTAGCAGTGCTTTTAAGAAAGCGCTTTCTAAAGCCAGTGTTTTTTTCCCTTTTTAAAAAAAAAATCTTTAGCAGCACTTTTATATAAAGCGTTGTCTTTGTTGCGCTGCCAAAATTCATTTTTGGCGTAGTGATATTTTTTATTAGGTATGTTGATGTTTTTGTGGATATGTTGTTGTTTTGTTAAGGTAAGTTGTTGTTTATGTTAAGGTAAGTTGTAGTTTTTGTTGATAAATGTTGTTGTTTGTGTTAATGTATATTTATTTTATTAGATATGTTGATGTTTTTGTGGAAGTATGTCGTTATTTTGTTACGGTAAGTTGTTATTTATGTTAAGGTGAGTCGTTGAATTTTGTTGATAAGTGTTATTGTTTGTGTTATTTTACACGTTTTTGTTGAAGTATGTTGATGTTTTTGTTGACAAATGTTGTTGTTTGTGTTATTGTTAATGTTATTCTTTGTACATTGCAATTTTCATTTCACTCTATCAATATGTCATCGAAGATGATTTATTATATTGTTTGTGGTTTGAGTGTTTTACCAGCCCTTTACCAACTATATAACGTCTCAAATTGAATTAGAAAATAATAATATGAGATGTTAAGTTATATTATAAAATAACTTACATTTATTAATGTTTTACGAGTTTTTTGCATATCAATATTCAGATCTTACTCTTTAACGGTTAGAACTTGATTCGATACTTCTAGTTCTTCTACTATCACTTTCTGTACTACTAATTTTTCCTACAAAATAATTAATACTTTGCAGAATAAACTAGAAGAGAAGAAATTGTTAGTTGAAGAATTAAAAATATTGAAACAAATTATAACCGTTAAAAAGCAAAATATGGATAATGGGTTGTATAAAGCTCATACAGTATTGATTAGTGTAACTTGTTCTTCTAATATAATTTAATTTGTCATATTATTGATTTCTAAATCAAATTGAAAGATTATATGTTTAGTAAATAATTGGTGAAATAAGTATTTCACAAAAGTTATATTAAATTCAAGTGAACATATCACCACAATTTGAATCTATAACTGTGGTAAAATATTTTAAAAATCTATCAAAATGTTGACGCTGGGTATCAAACTTCATACCTCAATCTTTTATTACGATTATTTTCTGCAACTGTAGTGATATGTTATGCGCTACTTTATTTTTATCACGGTTATCATCCTGTGATTGTAAAGATGACACATACTACCACACAATTCGTTACCATAGATCATTGTTCTTGGTAGAATCTTTTTTCCAACTGTAGAGATATAATTTTTGTAATATTGCTCTAAAAGACTTAGTTGCTTTTGTATTACTAACCTTGACAACAACATTTACAACCCCAAAAATGGCTTATAACACACAACTTTTATTTTCAAACTCCCAAGTAACAATACAAGAATCGCAATAGACTACGATGAATTTTCCCATAAAACTTAGTGTAACACTTACCTTATTCATAAAAATGTCATCAATCCTTGCATAATCCCCTTTTAGATAGTTCTTCTAATAGACGAAGTTTTAATTCAATCATTGTGATTTTTGTAAGACCCCTAAAATACCCTTCAAATAGACAAGTTTAAAAAAATTAAGAGAATTTACATTTAATTCTAAATATTATTCTTTCATTACTCTTGTTTGAGATAGCACAATAATTTAAAGAAAATCTCATACATTGATGGTTGAGACCTTTGAATTAGCATAGATTTGATATAAAGTTAGCACTCCTTCCTTAGCTACCATAATAGTCCGTAAAGTTTCTGCATTATTAACTTTCTTTAATTCAAAATAGCGCTTAACTATATTGAATTATTCGAATGCATTTTCCCCAAATTTCTAGTTTCCTCACATGTTTTTCTGTGTTAAACACTATGCCACTATCGTTGAACCATAATTCATGAGTGAATCATGTTATATAGATAGTTTCGTTACTACACACGTGATTTTTATTATAATATTCATTTACTTGCGACTTTCAATGCATTCAATGTTATTCTCTTATGATTTCTCATATTTCTAACAAATCTTCAGATGTCACGTTTCAACATAGTAATACGTGATTTCAAAGTTTCTTGAATAGTCAGCATTAACTTCCTTAAAATTTAAGTGTTTCAATATCGACTATTAAAAACTTATATCAATAAGAGAAATTTAATAGTTACAATAAATTTTTAAAAAGATCAAGTTTCTCGATTCTCCCTTTAAAAGAATTTAAAAGTTTGGTCTTTCTCTTCTCACTAACCTATTGTTAATCCTTAGAATAACACACAAATCTATATTCTTTTTTTTCCACATGCAGTACATGACTAACTTAATAATAACATCTCCCTTACAATGTTTTGTGTTAGAGAGGATTGAAGTAACTTTGTTCAAACCTAAAAAGTATGACCCATCATCTCTCTGGTCTGATATGGAAGGTACTCGGATGCTAAAGGATAGGTTAGGTAGCAAGCATATAATACTCTCGTTTTAACTTATAGGAGAATGTGTCAAGGTACATGTTAAGAGAATCAATAAAAAAACACCAATCTCATAGGATAACCAAATATTTTATTGTTAAAGATGACTCATCTCACTCACTCCTAAGATTATTAGGTAAAAACCAAAGATGTGTAGCCAAATGCATGGTCAGCAGTATCGGAATACATAAAGACTTCTTAATCAAATAACCGCATCTATAAATACCTCAATCAATTAATTGAATTGTTCATTCACCTTTTACATATTAAGATACATTAAACTCTCTTGTGCATCACATCACATGCAAATCAACCCTAGTTATACTAATGAACTATATATTACAAGATAAGTTACACAAATATTTTAAAATATAATATTTATTTAGCAATAACATACAGTGTAACTCATCGTTGTTCTTAGATTAGATAGATATTTTACTTATATTTAAAATATAAACTTGATATGAATTGCTAGAATGTTAAAGATTCTCTATACAGCAAAGCTACAAAGGAAAATAATCACCAAAATTAGCAATGAAGGAAATGGTTTCTTCACACCTTATCCATTTCTTGGTTCACAAATACATGCCAAGATGATTTAACAGCAGTATTTGTATAATACATAACTACCTACATAAAGTTGCCTATATTTGAAAATCAGAAATGTCTGGTGTCAGTACTTCTGAGCTCACTCTTAACAAGCTTCATAAGACAAGAAGCTTTCTTAGGCCCACTCAATCCAGAACATGAATCTCTGGACCCAAAAGCAATAGCAAAGTAAAGATAAACTGTACATATGATAGTTAGTAGAGCTAAAACAGATAACAGATAACGGTGCCTCATGATGAGTATTGACCAACTACCCACTTCATTCTTTGTAAACTGCCTCCTGCCAAATGATGATGACCTCATTGGATCTCTTCAATCTGTACAATGTGTCAATAATTAGTAAGAATTTGCTGAGTATACAGTTTCTTTGCGGAATTCATCTTCAATCCTCAATTAAAATCCATGATGGTAACAAACAAGAAATAACACGTTAAGTTATGTGTATACATCCGACGCAGTTTTGTCATTTGAAAAAGAGATAGGTTTACAAAATGTGAGTATTGTATATGAAATATGCTTAACCTTGATTCCAACATTATGTGAGACTTTTTGATGTACAAGGACAAAATGATGCATTTACTATTTTGATTCAAGAGAGGGTTATGTTAACGCCTGACGAATCTCTCCATATTAGACTTTTGACAATCAACAAATCTCTATAATATGAGTCAATTACAAAATAATTTATCCATAATAGAATATGATAAAAATTGATCCATATAACTGATCCTATTTTATGGGATAAGACTTAGTTGTTTATGTTTGGAACCAAACAATCTTAGATCTGGAACCCAATGTCTTTCTAGTATGGTGACATTCATTGAGTGTCGCAGATTAAACACAATAATGCAGGAACGTTAATCTCACCACCCCATTATTCCAATGAAACAAGATAACTGGAAATTAAGCAAATGCACACATGGGGATTTGGGATTCACAACAATTCTGACTTAGACATATATAATGATAATTAAACAACAACGTGATTGGATTTAATGATAAAAGTTACCTTGACAGTGAAGGGAAAAAGAAGAATAAGCAACGATGCACACAATCTTAATCCTAGAAAAGTTCGAGAGAAATGCGCGCGTTCGACATTATTAATAATATTAACATGTGAGCGCTTCTTATAGGCACCGTTGATGTCAATCAACAGCGCATATGGCCAAGGGAAAAATAATTACTATACTTAATGTCCCACTAATTTAAATTTATTTTAGAACCGGAACCCAATGCCGCTTCCTAGTATGGTGACATTCATTGAGTGTTGCAGATTAAACACAATAATGCATGAACGTTAATCTCACCACCCCATTATTCCAATGAAACAAGAAAATTAGAAATTAAGCAAATGCACACATGGGGATTGGGGATTCACAACAAATTTGACTTAGAAATATATAATGATAATTAAACAACAATGTGATTGGATTTAATGAGAAAAGTTACCTTGACAGTGAAGGAAAAAAGAAGAAGCAATGATGCACACAATCTTGATCCTAAAAAAGTTCGAGAGAAATGCGCATGTTTAGCATTATTAATAATATTAACATGTGAGCATTTCTTATAGATACCATTGATGTCACTCAATAGCATTAAAAACTCAATAGCATTAAAAAATCGCATATGACCAAGGGCAAAATAGTTATTATACTTAATGTCCCACTAATTTAAATTTATTTTGTGTTATAGAATACTTACTAGTATTTCCTTAAATTTAATTTAAAAAAGAAAATAAACTCCATGAAAAATAATATATTCATTTATTCTAATCTCCATTTAATTTCTTCATCTTCACACAAGGAATGACACCCAATGCAATAGACTACATAAAACTTTATCAAATCTCTATGATATAAAACAATTACGAAATAATGTACTCATAATAGAATATTATGACATAAATTATTCTTATGGCAGAAATTAATCCATATAACTGACTCTACTTTATGGGATAAGACTTGGTTGCTTATGTTTGGAACCAAACAATCTTAGATCCAGAACCCAATGTCGCTTCTTAGTATGGTGACATTCATTGAGTGTTGCAGATTAAACTCAATAATGTAGGAACATTAATCTCACCACCCCATTATCAATGAAACAAGATAACTGGAAATTAAGCAAATGCACACATGGGGATTGGGGATTCACAACAAATCTAACTTAGAAATATATAATGATAATTAAACAACAACGTGATTGGATTTAATGAAAAAAGTTACCTTGACAGTGAAGGGAAAAAGAATAAGAAGCAACGATACACAATCTTGATCTTAGAAAAGTTCGAGAGAAATGCGCACGTTTGGCATTATTAATAATATTAACATGTGAGCGTTTATTATAGGTACCATTGATGTCACTCAATAGCATTAAAAAATCGCATATGGCCAAAGACAAAATAATTACTATACTTAATGTCCTATTAATTTAAATTTATTTTTTGTTATAGAATACCTACTAGTATTTCTTTAAATTTAATTTAAAAAAGAAAATAAACTCCATGAAAAATAATATATTCATTTATTCCAATCTCTATTTAATTTCGTCATCTTCACACAAGGAAGGAAATACATGACACCCAATGCAATAGACTACATAAAACTTTGTCGAATCTCTTTGATATGAAACAATTATTGAAGGAAATACATGACACTCAATGCAATAGACTACATAAAACTTTGTCGAATCTCTTTGATAAAACAATTATGAAATAATGTATTCATAATATAATATTATGACAGAAATTAATCCTTTGACAGAAATTAATCCATATAACTAACCCTACTTTATGGGATAAGACTTGGTTGCTTATGTTTGGAACCAAACAATCTTAGATCCACAACCCAATGCCACTTCCTAGTATGGTGGCATTCATTGAGTGTTGCAGATTAAACACAATAATGCAATGCAGAAACGTTAATCTCACCACCCCATTATTTCAATGAAACAAGATAACTGGAAATTAAGCAAATGCACACATGGAGATTGGGGATTCAAAACAAATCTGACTTAGAAATATAGAATGATAATTAAACAACAACGTGATTGGATTCAATGAGAAAAGTTACCTTAACAGTCAAGGGAAAAAGAAGAAGAAGCAATGATGCACACAATCTTGATCCTAGAAAAGTTCGAGAGAAATGCGCACGTTTGACATTATTAATAATATTAACATGTGAGGGTTTCTTATAGGTACCATTGATGTCACTCAATAACATTAAAAACTCAATAACATTAAAAAATCGCATATGGCCAAAGGCAAAATAATTACTAACATAATGTCCAACTAATTTAAATTTATTGTGTTATAAAATACTTACTAGTATTTCTTTAAATTTAATTTAAAAAAGAAAATAAACTCCATGAAAAATAATATATTCATTTATTCCAATCTCCATAAAGAAGGAAATACATGACACCCAATGCAATAAACTACATAAAACTTTTTACATAAACCACAAGTAAATCCCACAGGGTGGGAATCAAATTTCCATCACTTTAGAACAGGAAATATGAAGAACCTAGGACAGAAGCGTGATTTCTACCCAAGTTGCGTCCTCGGATGCACTCCACATCAACCAAGTGTGAGTGATCGATGAAAAGGTTCACCTGAAAAAAAAACACACAACATCAAAGTGTTGCGCAATATTTTTACTATTTCTTGTTCTTATTTAAGCGAGGAAAAGGAAATAGAACATTTACCTTTGGTCCATATTGTTTGATAAACCATTCAGATGCGCTCTGATTTGATGCTTCAAACATAGTCTTCTCGAGACCAAGGCGGCCTATGATCTTTGCAATAACATCTGCTCGCATATTATCGGCGTGTTTGGAGAGATCATCAGCGTCAATCATTATCATGTCGGCACCTGCTTCTAGACACCTCTCAGCTCTCCTAATCATGAGATCCACATCTTCTACTAGTTCTGTTGCAAAAGTTTCAATACAAGATCAAACCAGAATACTAAATTGATTCTACATCATTCAACGCAACCAATCTTCACAGAACAAAAGATTTAATATCTTATTACTGGTAATCAATATCTTAATATTTCTTAAGCACAGTTTGAAACAGAAAATAGTAGCATGTTCAACAATCAATGTAGAGATTTGTTTGAAAATTAAAGGGGGAGAAATCCAAAACAGGCGTATCTTCAGCATAATCCATCCGACTATGCAATTTATTCAAATTGAAACCATAACACTCACAGCATTTTTAACTTGAATATTCTCATTTCCTACGAACATCTATTTATGATGGAACATTTCTTTGAAACTTCCATGTTTCTGGTAAAAATTAAAAAAGAAAAATAGTTCAGTATGAAGATTCAGAGAGTTGCTAAATATATCTCTAGATAGCACTATCATGCCAGACCTACAAAATTAACTACTTAAATAATGTGATAAAATTACGTGTATGACCCAAGGATCAGAGTTCCATTCAATTTTATCATTTAATTAAAACTTCATTGAAGTTGTCTGCATTGACATTCCCCGGAAGGAGGGGTACAACGCATTCCTTATATTTCACAGATTAGTAAATCATCTTCATTCATGAAGATTACGATACCACTATAGTATTACTTGCAAATAACATATCATCAAAATATATTTTGTATCAAGGATTTGTCTAAACACATACTACCAATTCTTTGACCACAACATCTGACGTGTTGTATATTTTAGTAGTACAATCCAAAAGATAGTATCTATCACAAAGCCTAAATATGTTCAATTTCACCTTTAAAGAGAGATAGGTTATACATGCATAAAAATGAGAAGAGAAAAAGGGAGTCAAATATCTTTACCAAATGATCTAGATGCTGGAGGAATATATGCGCCGTAGGCTCTATTGCCACCTCTGGGAATTTCAGACTCATTAAACTTAACTTGAAAATGAGGCTTGGCTTTCATGCCACCAGTTTTGACCAAGCGAACAAATTTTAAAAGGGTTTCTTCCGAAACTCCAATGGAACCCACATTGAGCTCAATTGTATCAAATCCCAATTTCTTGCATTCCTATTACAAAATATCATATATTAATCATGTAACTTACGCTAACTAATTGTTAGAACAACTAGTAACAAAAGAGAAATATGTAACACTCTAATTGTTAAAACAACTAGTAACAAAAGAGAAATATGTAAACACTAACTAATTGTTAGAACTGCATCTAGTAACCAAAGAGAAAATAAAAACGCGAATTGCAAACAATGAACATTTGATTATAGTAGTTCGGTCAAGTGTGTCTACTGTAACTATGCAACATCAGTGTTAGTGTTAATGCACTTGGGTGAAGATGGAATGAGAGAGAATGAATGAAAGGTAATTGTATTGAATGCTAAAACTAAATTACACTATACATGTATCTATACAAGTAAGTTACTTGCAACTCAAGTAAATAATCATAACAAAATAACTAACTCGCTAACCAAGTATCTATCACAACAATCAGTTGTAGTTCCGTATTATTATTCAAATGAATTAATAATTCAACATTACAAATCATATAATACTACAATTCAGATTACAATAATACCTTTAAACCCCTATCTGGGGTTATCACCCCCTACAACAAATAGTTGGATCTAACACACATGCAAGGGGGTGGAGGGAGGCGCTAGCTCAGCTCCCCTGCCCCTCTTCCGTGTCAATGAGACATACTCAACACTAACCCAAGAATAAAAACTGTTAATATAGTAAATATGATTCTAAAGTAAAAAGATAAATGCACAAAAAACACAACAATTGATCACAGAATTCGGAAAACTGTGCCCCAGTCGAGGACAGCGGGGGCGAAACTTTCTTTTTTAATACTACAGTGTTGTTATAAGTTTACCCCCTTGATAAACAACAAAGACAAACAATTCAAACACAGAAAGAATAAAGGTAGCTAGAGCTGCTAAACCTCTACATAGTCTTTGAAGCCTGATGGACCTTTGTGAATCATATGTTCAGCCCAATCGCCAGTGCTAACATACACATCATACTGGTGAGCCGTATCAATGACTTGTTTGATAAAAGCTTTTGGCATCAAGCTATCAGAACCTCCAGAGAATTTCAAACCATCAACAACATCTCCCATTGATTCAAAAATATCCTGCACACAACACAACACAACACAACACAGCTATTTCCTATAAACAATTATGAAAATCTTTAAGCTCAAATTATCCTAATTGAACACAAGGGAGTGAAAAAAGAAGCTCAATCCAAAGAACAATTGGCAAATGATATCATATACTATAATTAGTTATGAATGAAAAAGGAAAAGGAAAATTGGTGAACCTGAAGAACATTGTGGTTGAAGAGAGTGTAATGAGGGCTTCGCATTTCGGTGACGCCGTAGCGGCGAGGCTTGGAGGGGCGATCCTCGTTCTCGTCGAAGCTTTTCCATCGGTATGCTGACATTGCTATTGTTGCTAGTGAGGAGAATTGAATTGAGCGGGAATCGAGTTTCGATTTCGGTTTTCGCTTGTTATTTTTCGTTCTTACTATGTGCAACCGAAAGGAACTTTATTTAGAAATAGCCAGTTCTTTCTTGAAGCTGGCAGAAGGAAAAGGGAGGATCAAGTTCTTTCTAGAAATTGCGCTCTGAATGTATTTGCATTTAAGAGAATACAATACGTGTCCATATATTTTTATTTTAAGAATGTCTACTTTTTTCATAATTGGGATTTGCAAAGTATTTGTCGCCTAAATTTATAATAAGAAATGATATGTGACCTTTTTTCTTTTAAACTTGAGATACATAGTTAATTATGGAAAGAAATATTTTTTTTTAATTTTGTCCAAATATATAAATAAATTATATGTTGATATAGATTAATTATTTTATTCGTTGAACTAAATTAATTATATAAAATACCATACACATTTAAAATTAAAAAATGTACATTAAATACATTATAAGAAAAACAATATTAGTCACGCGTATAATCCCTCTCGCAAAATCTCTAGATTCATTTTCTAGATTAGAGATTAGCACGCAGAGTATTAAGAGTAATTGTTTAACATACGATAATGTAACGGTTAAATTTTTGACAACACAAAATGATATTTTGGACTGTGTAAAAGGTATTGTGATAATTTAAATTTGATGGAATATCCCCTTACAACTTTTTAAAATATATAAAAAAATTAATAAACATATCATATATATATATATATATATATATATATATATATATATATATATATATATATATATATATATATATATATATATATATATATATATATATATATATATATATATATATATATATATATATATATATATATATATATATATATATATATATATATATATATATATATATATATATATATATATATATATATATATATATATATATATATATATATATATATATATATATATATATATAATATGATTTTTTTATAAAAATATTGCTTTAAAATATATATTTGTTCAAGACCAATCATATAGACCTCGGCCGACCACCATGGAGGAACCACAGTTATATTGGAATGTTCTCAACATACGAAAATCATTCTACCAGCATGCACATGAGATCTATACCTCAAGTGTATCCAATGGCTCTCCGCAATTTACTCATAACTAATAGTAAGTGAATTATTCACTATCTTCTATATATACAGAATACAATAATTCAGATAACAAGTTTCAAATTCAATTTCAATTAACTCTTCTCTCTCACATACTGGCTTAAGCGTTGGAGTGCTAACCTTGTAGGTAAGCCTCATCCCTGTCGCAGCAAAAGCTCAAATCCACCATTACTCTCGATCTTCACTCCTTTTCTGGTTCCAGAACGAAAGAATGACATCGTTTGCGAGAATCGACTTCTAATTCATGCGTTCTCCATAATTATGCATTCTTCTTCAATTCACTAGTTCACAACCTTCTCAGCTCATTGAATCAAGATCCTCCAAAATCATACACTAAAATCCATCGCATTTTATCTAATCAAGCATCATTTCAACTTTGATTCCTCGAATTCCTAGATTTCTGACTCCTACACTTCCAAGTAATGGTCAGATCCAAAGCCACTTGTTATGTTAATGCGCAAGAAGTCGTTGTTGTTGTTGTTGTTGTTTAAGTAGCAATTAATCAATCACCTCCACATCCTCTTCAAAACATTACAAATCCTGAAGAAGAAGTTTTGTTACACCCATATCTAATCTAGAATCCTCAGATAGCTAGATCTGTCAAAGTTCCTCTAATTTCACTTTCGTTCCACCTTCAGTCTCACAACTTAAAACCTTACCTGACTTCCAGCTACTAAAGGCTAACCTTGGACTGCAAGGCGCTAACGAACTGCTAAATAACATGTATAACATTGTTCAACACCAAAACTCCCAAGAGATAGAAGATATGATGTTTTGCTTAGAAGAAAGGCTCCACGACACACCTCAGCAAGAGATCACCGTCCAAGAGGTTATATCCATAAAGACTCACATTGTTGGTCTAGAGAAGACCTATACAAAGAAAGACAAAGCTCTTAAATCAAGAAATCAACATAGGAGCAATAAACATAAGTCCTCCCCAAAGTTCTAAGGGAGACATAGGCTGTCATGATCCTCCTCGGATCAAGAAGAAAATCGGTCGTTGGAGGTTCAGCAAAAGCAACCTTTGTGCACCAGGATTTTAGAGAGAAAAATACCCAAATCCATGGAGAAGTCACCCAAGGTAGGTGAGTACGATGGAAAAGGAGATCCATACGAGCACGTGCAACTCATCAATGACTGGCGGAACTACTTCAGCGCGAAAGGAGCCTCTAAGTGCAAGTTTTTTTGCCTTAACCTTGGTTAGATCAGATAGACTATGGTTCAATGGGCTTCCGAGCAGAATAAATTAATCATGGACTAACTTCTGTGAGCATTTTTTCTCGTATTATTGTCCCGAAAGACACAGCCAGTGACTACATTTTCCTTGAATAGGATCCTTCAAGGGTAGGAGGAGAGATTACGGTCTTATATTGGTTATTTCACGTAAGATGCCTGGTTACAGAGCCACAAGTTGACGACAATGCAAAGAAATATGATAAGATTGAACCCACATGGAATTTATTTTAAGTACTAATTTTTATCCTAACGGTGTGTAGCTAAAGCGATAGAATAACCGAAAATTCAGTGCGAATGGAATAAAATTAACAATATAAAGCAAAGTAGGATATGCAGTACATGATATTTATCCCAAATTACCTAATTAACTTTCCGATTTTAATTATGAGAAAATAGGGCAAGCTCTAGAAAAGTAGATAAAAATGCACTACACCCACTTTCGTAGCGTGCGTATCTAGACTTATTTCTGGAACAACTAACTGACTTTCTCAATCAAGAACAAGAAACCTTGTCGTTACGTCTCGTTATCGATTGTTTAGCAATGCGTAGTCGGATTTCAAATCACTACCTTTCGGCACATGATTGATATCTAGGTTTCCTATGCTTTCGCTAGCCAACACAAATATATTTAAGATTTCGGATTCTAAAATAACTTTTAAGCTCTTTATTTTATTATGATTTGTAAACAAATAAGTAAATTGGGTTTTGGCATGAGATAGAGCTCATGACCCCTTGTCCCTAAAGAAGTACTCACTCATTGTGAGATTGACTAGAAATAAACAAGATAAAGACATAACATGCATATAAAGTAAAAGCAATTGCAATAAACTTAGATTACCTAAATTTAAGACAAAATGCTTTAATAATAGGCTAATCCTGAAGTTCCTTAACTTAATTTCAGTTTTCATTTTGGTCCCTTATGTAATAAACATTCATTAACTTAGAGATGAGGTGAAGTCACTAGAGGCAACAATTTATCGATCTATTCCTGAGTTTGGTTGTGTAATTATATCACAAAGAAAGAATCGGTCGATGAACCTCTGCATCCAGCATCCACATTCCCCTCTCTTCATTTTTTTATTTTTTATTTATTTTTAGTTTTGTTTTTTTGGCTAATAAGTTAAATCTAGTTGTTTCTTATTATTTTTTTATGAGTTCTTCTGATGATATTGATATGAAGGAGGGAATTGTCGAATCTAATATTAGATTTATGTATTGGTTGATCTGAATGTATCATAATATATTCTTTCTATGTGATGAAATTGTTAGGTTTTAATATTTCCCCTTTTCTGTATTCTTTCCTGAATCTGACACCTTTAGAAGGTGGTTAAGGTTTTGATCCCGACTTCTTGCTTGAGGAGAGAATTAATGTTTGTTTAGTTGAAGTGTGTGGATCAAATTCCCTTTTATATCCTGATGCTCCAAATACTGGTTTCATTTGTTATGCAACAGAATGGAAGAAATGTCCATATTTAATTTAGAGATTCCACAGTTTCTTTATTAAGTTAAGCTTTTTGAAGAGGCTAAATGGGCCTCATTACTCATAAGATGTTATTTTTTCCCTCCATATATGATTTAAGAGGTATTTGTTTGTTTGTCTGTATTGGAAAATATGTTTCCAAATTGTAGGCAACAAAGAACAGTGTAAAGCTAGTTAACAGTACTGTATGTAAGTCAATAAAGTTACCCTTAAAGGATGAACAAGTTGCCTTTGTTAATTCTGAAGGGAATAACAAGCTTGTTCAAACAAGTGAATCTATGGTAGATGGTTAAGCAAATGTCTAGGATATTGTGGTCACCATGAGGAGAAAGATTAGAGGGAAGAAAATTCTTGTTTATGTCTCTTTTGCTCACATGGACAATGTGTCATTCCATTCAGAAACAAGTGTTTAGAAGTGGAAGTATGTTCTTCAAAAAAAGGATTTCAACTAAAAGAAAGCTAGGTAAAGAAGCTCTTGATTTCAAAGAAATCATGAAAGTTACTACAAATGAAGATTGTTTCTGGTGATGATCCTAGCTGTGAAAAGTTGGTCAAGAAGTATGGTGTGAACATTACTTATGTGCATAATATAGCAGGAAACAAGGAGTATATAATGGTTTTTTATAGAAGAAATTGTGTAAAGCTTTCACCTCCAATTGTACATTGATTAAGCTGAAGCAAGGTTCCATATTAATAAGATTATGAGCAAGGAAAAAGGGAACTGAGAAAGAAGAAGAATATGCAAATAAGGATGCATAAGAACTTTTGTTGAAGCACTATTTGATAAATGATTTTTAGGTTTATTATGATGATTTTCCTTATGGGTTGCCGAGGTTCAGTCATGAGCTGCTTGTTGGATCAGATGTCTCAGACATTATGTCAAACATCTATGTACTAGTTGATGAATCTGATATAGTTTTTGATGGAAATATGTTAGAGCTTATTCACCTCAAATTAATGTTTCTTCTAGTGTAAATGTGTATGGGAGATGATGATATGATGGTTTTCAATAAATGATGTTGCTCATATGTAATTGTGTATTGCTGTTATCGGAAGAATGATTATGAGAATGTGCATAGTATCATGTATGTTTGAAGGATCT